ATTATAATTTTTTTTTTACTGTACTATTTTGTGTGTGTGTGTGTGTGTGTGTGTGTGTGTGTGGTGTTTTTTTTTAGTTTGTATTTAAGTCCTGTTTTATGTGAAAGATTTTGGGAAATGAGAATGTAGCCTCTGTCTTGAGCCTACTCACTATGAATTGGCTTTGTCCCTTTCTAAGGTTTCACACGTCCATATTGGTGCCACCAAGTATACGCCTCGCGGTCTCTGAGCTGCTCATCCTCCTGTCCAAACCATTTGCATAAGCGGTTATGATTCACAAGTGTAAGAACTGACCTGAGATAAGAGAGATCAGAGATCAAACCCAGTACTATGCAATGATGAGTCTTTCACATCCAGTGACGTTGCAATTTGGAAATGACATCCCGCTATCTTCAGCTGACATTGACCTCTGGTAGGAACACAAAATAAGATTTGTTTTTCCTTCCAGTACATTACTGGTCATCCACCGGTTATAAGTGACTCATTATTGTGAGTAGGAGTTTCACTGGTAGTACTAGTTGTGTATGGTGATGGGACGGTCAAGGACGCTTCTGTATGAATGCATGGGCAGCAATGGGTGACTGACTGATGACCGTTCTAGCAGCTGAACTGTCTCTGGAAACCAGAGGATCAGCATGTGTGCCAGGCAGCTAGCAATTCAGGAGATCAACATTGGCAGACTCTGTTTTTCTCTTATGGCGATTGCCCTTTAAGGAGGATACAAACTTTCATTGTTTAGTGTTGCTGTTATTATTGGCAAGCCCCTTTTCTTTTCATAAGTTGATGTCTCAAAGTGTATGTCCAGCCAAAATGTTGTATTTCAGTTTTGGCAACTCTAGGGAAGGATTTAACAGAGCACTTTGTTCCTTTTTTAATTGCTGTTTTGCAATTTAGATGCTGGGAGATGGTATGTGAAGTCAGGTAGCTGACCAGGTAACCGCATCCAGAGGTCAGGTGATCTCCGATATCTGACTCTCAAGCTGAGAGGTGGACTATAAATTAAGCTAATATAGGAGGCAAGTCTAAAACCTTTTCAAGTGAGCCTGCGACTACAACTCCTGATCCACATTATGCAGAATAGTCAAAGATTAGGTGCAATCTTTATTTCATGAATATAGCTTTACTGTGCCATTTATGTAACTAAAATCCCCTTAGTCGGGTATAGTGCTCAGCGAGAGTTCAGGTCCGGTGTAATTACAGGAAAGTCTTTTTACGTGTGTCAGCGTTATCTAGTATTAACATTTACATAAACAGACCCAATATTATTGTGCAAGGCTGCAACACACAAGCAACCTGCAGTGTATAACCTCCAGTCTACTAATAACCACTGACAAACAATGGTCAGCGTTCCTTGCTGGTCAACTTTTGCTGTTTATGCACAAATGCTATTTTTTTTTTCTTTTTGTCCTTGGGTTTTATTTTGAGCTTTGTTACCATGTGGAATACAGTACAAGGAGAGATCGTTTTTGGGGGGTTAATTTATGCTAGTTACATTGTCCTATCTCCTTCTCTTTACTCTCCTTCTCTGTCTTTTTGTCTCTTCTTTCTCCCTCTCTTGTGTTTTTTTTTCTCCTCTCCCTCTCTTTTTTTTTCTCTTCTCCTCCCTCTCTCGTCTTTTCTTCTCACTCTCTCGTCTTTTCTTCTCACTCTCTTGTCCTTTTTCTCCCTCTCTCGTCCTTTTTCTCTTCTTTCTCCAATGAAGAGGCAATATATAATCCATTAGTTTTGGGAGCCTTGACCTGCATTGTGCCACACAAACCAGTGACATGGGGCATCTTTGAAAAATAAGTAAAATACTTTATTTGGGGCTTTGCCAAGCGAATAGGGTGACAGGGGTGCTTGTACAAGGTGGGTATCAGTGAGAGGAGGGGGGTTTACAAAGTGAGGTTTATGAATACAATTTATTTTCTATGAATGTCTCAGTTGCCCCCACTGTCTACCATCTTCCGAGTCTTTCTGTTTATCAGTTGGGCCACCTATTCTATTAAAGGACAGATGGGGCAGGGCCCAGCCTGACTTTATCAGAAAAAGTCGAGATTTGCATGTAGCAACTCCTTTCTAGATCTACTGTTCGTTATGATATAGCGTTTTCATGTGGCTTTTTCACCTTCTGCTTAAGAATTTGTTTTCAAAGTATGCATCATCTGGATTGCCCTGGTTGGAGATGGGCTCACCATGAATAACTGTATGTAAACTGAAGCTGAGAAGCAACAGATGTGCTTAAAATAAGTGTCGCTTGTAGGCATTTGATCAGATTCGATGTTCTTGTACTGTTGGCTGATACTCATGCTATATTCTTATCTCCGTGAAGTTTGGACGACTGTTGTAAGCGCTGCTGTGGCTTTCAAGGCCATGTTTTATGAGGGAATCTCCAAGAATATGCTGCGTTCTCTAGATTTTCCAGAATTCTATATCATACTAATACTTCTTTGTAAACAGGAAATACGCAATATATAAGATGTACATTTGTAAGACACGTACAGTATTGAGAGGGTCATAGATGGCCGAAATTGTAAAGTAAAATTTTAAGTGAATGTGAACTAATGTTAATGTTTTCTATTTTTATAGGATCCGCCAATGGATGCGAGAAGACCTCGTTTGTCTTCCTGCGGCAAGAGTTACCTGTGCGGCTGGCCAATATCATGCGTGAGATCTACATCCTCCCAGACCCCTTGCTGGGGACGCCATCGGTTCAGCTTGTGCAGAGCTGGTGGGTAACACATGGCCCGGCCCCGACTACTATGACATATTGCTCGTCTTCTTTACTGCCATGGCATTTTTTTAACAGTCTAAATAAATAATAATAATATAATTATGTGT